CCTCTTACACACTATTCACTGCTCACCAGCGTGCAGGTCCCTGTGAGCTCAGCCGGAGGTCAGCACCGTGAGCAGATCAACCAGCTCCAAAGCTGGACGGCCAGGCCCCAGTCCCAGCTCTGTGGCTCACTGCTGTGTCACCGTGGGCAAGTCACTTCCTCATCTGGATAATGCACATAATAATACTACCCATCTCGGATGGTTGATGTGAAAAGGAAATGAGCTCCAATACAATGGAGTTTGTGCTTGGTACATAGTTGGCAAACATACATAATTATTAGTACCATAGCAACTATCATAGTCTCATCGTGGAACAGGTTTCTATTGTCTGTAAATGGCCACAAAGAGGAAAAAAAGTGCCTTCCGATAATCACGTGTAATTTTCTTCTTTCTCTAGTAGCATTGTTCCTAATCTGATATAAAGTGCACACACACACACACACATTCATGTGAAGATGTCCTGGTAAATGCAAGGCTTTCTGATTCATTCTATACAAAGATTCATACATACAGCATGCAGAACATTCTCGGCAATATTGTGGAATATGAAAATATAGATCACTGTCTCTTTGCTTAAAGGATTTGCCATATAATAAAGCAGATAATATATTTGCATAACCATACTAAGGAATAGGTGTAAGAGGGATAAGAAAAATTAAGACAAGGGACGGTAGAGATTAGTCTGGGGATCAAGGAATAGCGCTAAAGAAGGCAGTATCTAAGATGTCCCATGAAGGACAAATGTGATTTAGAAAAGCAGAGCTAGCAGAATGGCAGAAAGCTACAGACCAAAGGAACAGTTGAGGAGGGCAAGAAAACCGGAAAATGAGGGCCACGTCTGAAAGAGGCTGGTGGGTCAGACACTGGGCAGGCAGCTGGATGGCAGGTAATGAGGTTCTTGAATGTCTGACACCATGAAAAGAAGCTCAAAGGTAAATGTACCCATCTGTGTTTCTATCTTCAGGTTAGCCTTTGTAGCAATCAAACTTCGGTTAAGCCTGACTTAAAATTACAGGTGTATTTTTATTTTTTTTAAAGATTTATTTATTAATTTGAAAGTCAGAGTTATACAGAGAGAGAAGGAGAGGCAGAGGCAGAGGCAGAGAGAGAGAGAGAGAGAGAGAGAGAGAGGTCTTCCATCCACTGGTTCACTCCCCAGATGGAGCTGTGCTGATCTGAAGCCAGGGGCCAGGAGCTTCCTCCGAGTCTCCCGCATGGGTGCAGGACCCCAAGGACTTGGGCCATCTTCTACTGCTATCCCAGATGATAGCAGAGAACTGGATGGGAAGAGGAGCCACTGGGACTAGAACTGGCGCCCATATGGGATGCTGGTACTACCGGCTGGGGCTTTAACCTGCTGCTCCACAGCGCCAGTCCCCATAAAGGTTTTTTTTTTTTTTTTAAATGATCTTATACCATACTTTGCATGGTGCTGTTACTATAATTAGGAGAAAGCAACGGAATCCAGTGTTTTCACAGATTTTTTTTTTATTCCCTTAGTTCTGAGGAGCTCAGGAGGTGTTCTAGTGAAAGAAACTGCTTTGTTATATTCCATTATCCCAGCCTCAGGGACACATTATCTTAGGCGTGCAATCTCAACCCTGAAACACCCCTAATATGAATATGTAGACAGATGTCAGGGCTGCTGGTTTGGGACGCACCTGACAGAGAATGGCTGGCGACATGTGTAAGCAGAGTTACCTGGAGAATGCAAGCTAAATGGCTGGGTGCTTCTGTTTGTTTGACTTTGTCAGCCTCTCCCTAACTTTCATTAAATACCCAACTAACCTTCAATTGCCCTCTTAGAACTTAATCTCAGTGCAACTTCCAACATTCGAAAATCATCAAGCAAAGAGTGATCTACCCTGATACGGGGGTCTTTTATTCAATATCAGTAGATGATTCCAACTATAAAATTCTACAAATGGCCCAAAATGCAGGATAAGATAGATTTCCAAATCACTAACTCTGTATAAGACTGTGTAAATTATAGTGTATTTAGAACAAACTAGCAAGTAGCCTTTTTGAAAGAAAAATAAAGTACACCCTGAAACTTCTGTGAAGTTGGAATGTCATGATGTAGATGATGGCAAGAAGAACGTTTCCATAGAAGCAAGCCTTAATCTGCAAGGAAACATCAAATCAGGGAGTCTAGAAAGATGGTATATAAGGTTACGTTTATGTTTGTGCTTTCTCTGATGCCCCTGATGTAAATCCTTTAGTATAGAAACCCTTTGACCAGATCTTTTTCCTGTATTTCTCAAAGCACTATCCTCAGACCACCTGTGTTACCGTAAGATTCCTCAGGTTTCCAGAGACAGGTCACGAGATTCAAATTATAAAGGTGAAACTTCCGTATTCTTATGATCACTGAAGTTACTTCTACCTTGATTCTTCTGTTGTTATTCCTTCAGCTCTTCTCTTCCCACACAAACTACCCATTCAGAGATGGAGCCGATACTGGATTTAGATATTCTTCTTAGCAGGCACATTGCCAGATGCATGATGTCATTTACAGAGTCAAAAACAATCCAAGGCTTTCCCCAACAAGTCGCAAACTGCCAGGAATCAGTTGTGGGTAGAACTTATTCAGAGGATAATTACAAACCAAACTTCTTAAGCACCCAACTGCTGTTTACTTTTCTTCCTTTTAAAATGTATCGCTTTCTTCCCTGTGCCTTTGTGTTTGCTTTATTTTCTCTTTAACACCCCCACCTCCAGATATTGAGTAATAGTACTGATTAGCAAAAGAAAAGTGATTATAATAATGTCATTCTTGCAAAAACATGCCCTTAAAATAGTTCTGTTTCTTACATATAAACCCTGAACCATTTAGGTTCTCCTTACTTGATTACAAACGAAGGTACCTGGATACTTCAACCTCTCTATTATCTAAATGCTGTCTTTAATCTTAAGTTTATAGCTATCACCAAACATATTTTTACAAGTTTTACACTTTATCTTTAGGTCAATCAACTATTCATTTGAAAACTTATTGCCATATGTTTTAAAAAGGAAATTCAGAGGCTGGCAGTGTGGCATATTGGTTAAGCCCCACTTGTGATGCTGGCATCCCATATGGGCACCAGTTCAAGTCCCAGCTGCTCCACTTCTGATCCAGCTCGCTGCTAATGTTCCTAGGAAGGCTTCGGAAGATGGTCCAAGTACTTGGGCCCCTGCTATATCCATGGGAGAAGTTCCTGCCTTCAGCCTATCCCTGCCCTGGCTGCTACAGCCATTTGGGGAGTGAACCAATGGATGGATCATCTCTTCTTCCCTGTCTTTTCCTCTATGTAACTCTGCCTTCCATATAAATAAATAAATAAGGCTTTAAAATAATTTTTAAAAAATGAAATAAACTGTCACAATTATCAGGATAGCTGTGTGATAGAGTAGAAAGACATGGACCCCACAGATGGAAGACAAAGTTTATTATTTATCTGTGTGATGACAAGGAAATTCATATAATTCCTCTGAGTCCCAGTTTCCACTTCTAATTTTTAAAAAATGAATCAAAAATAATTCCTATTTTACATAATTACTGTAAAGCATAGGGAGATCATATATATTTTGGTTTCTAATGAAACATTCATTTGTGAATGAATGCCTGGTAGTACTAAGAAAGCCATAACTTGGCTTTTGATCCCTGAAATGACCTTCTCTTTATGTCTGTGTGTGTGTGTGTTTCAAAAGAAGAGTTGGTTTCCTTGTTCTTTCCTTTGGAGATTTTTGTTTTGTTTTTACACATCTGGCTCATATAGTGACAGAATTATCACTGCATTCAAATGGCACTATTGCCACCAAGTGGTTCCTAAGAGTACTGCTGGTATGACAAACCACAGCTTTGATTAAAACTGCAAATGGACCAAAAAGAGTAGCTTTTCTTCTTCCTTGGTGACATACACTGAGTAACAGCACTTTAACCAAACACTGCAATGACATTGTACTCTTTCTTCCTCCATTATTTACTCTAGAAACTACAACCAACAGCATGTATTCAAAAATCTTTGGCTCTCTCCTAACTCCCTAATGCCTCCACCTTATATCCTACAACTAAAGACCTATAGAGAAAGCTGAGATCACAATGCCAGGATAGGGGCTGCAAATCCACCAGCATTCACAACCAAAATATACCCAGTATTTTATATAAGCTTCATTCTCATATAGGCCAGGAAATGGAGACTCAAACTGATTCAGTACTTTTCCCAGATTGCCAGTTCAAAAGTAGCAGGACAACTCAAACCTGGGACTGAGCCAGGGTTTTCTCTACCATCTCTCAAAGCCTCTCTTCATGCCCCATCTCTGTAATGAGCCTTTCTGTTATTCTTTCTCTGCAGATTTAGGAAGATAACTTCTAGCCCACAAACCTACATTAGCACATTAGAATGACGTAGCGAGATTTTTTTTAAAATGTATTTATTTATTTATTTGAAAGGCAGAGTTACAGAGAGGCAGAGAGAGAGAGAGACACAGAAAGAGAGAGAGAAAAAAAAAAAGAGAGAGAGAGAGAGCGTGTTCTTTCATCCTCTGGTTCACTCCCCAAATGGCTGCAATGGCCAGAGCTGGGCTAGGCAAATGCCAGGAGCCAGGAGCTTCTTCCAGGTCTCCCACATGGGTTCAGGGGCCCAAATACTTGGGCCATTATCTGCTGTTTTCCCGGGTGCATTAGCAGGAAGCTGATCGGAATTGGAACAGCCGGGACGTGGGATGCCAACACTGCAATTGGCAGCTTTACCCACTATGCCACAGTGCTGGCACCCCTAAGGAGATTTTTGAAATTATGAGTACCTAAATCCCTAGCAGACCAACTGAAACCAAAATCCTGAGAAAACAATGTAATTTTTTTAATTCATCAAATGATTCTGTTGCATTATGAAGGTTGAGAACCAGCAATTTAAATAACGATATTATTTCTGTGAATTTTTTCTATTGCTTTAACAATTAACTAAGAGTATATTCTTATAAAATATCTCATTAACATAATTTCTGTCTTGTAATAACAGGTGGATGAGATATTTATTGACTCGACCTTGAACAAGCACTACATCGAGAATCGGGTAGTCAGATTGACGTACGTATATTTGAGCAAAAGACAAATCACAAACCTTGAGGGACAGAGGGCAGAAGAGACAGGGATCCTCATAGATTGTGTGACTCTATGAGCTAGGCTCTTAGTTTTCCTAAAAATATCTCCACTAGTCTCAAGATATAAGTTAACCACCATTCCGTAAATGAAAATGCTAAGATTTGGGGAGGTTGAGTGATATGTTTACAGTTCCCCAAGGGACAGTTTCCCCAGGTGATAGATCCAGGGTTCAACCCCTTCAACTGATTGGAAGGCCACGGATTAATCAGAACCAGATAGCCTTGGGGAACCCAGCGGCACCTCACTGCATGCACCAAGTATGTTCTCACAATCATTTCAAAGGATCAAAGAAACTTTGATACGTCATTTCAGAAATGTTAAGAAAGCAATGTTGAGTAAAAATGGGATTATAAGTTTTACTTGTAATGAAGCCTTAGGGGCAGGATCATGCCCAAACAAAAGGATCCCCTGTTGTGATTAATTTTCTTTTCGAAGTGGTGGAGGAGGAAGACTCATATCAGTTGAAGAAATTGCTTGGAGGTTGCAATTATGTTATCCTAAAAATCACTAAGCAGAACCTGTTTGCCCTGGGCACAACCTAATGAGCCTCTAGGACTCATCTTTTTAAAGAAAAAAATATATCCAGAGCAGAATTTATTTGAAGGACATAATAGTCACTTTTCTTACAATAGACCAATTTTCTTTTTTTGGCAGACTTATTTCAAATCTTTACATCTTTACTGAGTAGTTAGTGAGGAGGCAATAGGCTTATAAATGATGGAACTTTCTAGATTTCACACCCTCTACTTTCAAATTCTGATCTGTTATAGAATTCTAACAATATATTTCACAGTCCTATGGACTACTTTGGATTTGCAGGCATTTCAGCATGTAATTTTTATATGGATCCAGAGAAATTCTACTTAGTAAACAATGTTAACTTCATTGATTTAAGATGGAAAATTACCTGATCGGGTGTTTACCAATTTGCTATAAAATTCTGTTTATTTATATCTTTGTAATCCAGAGCCTGAATAGACTACAGTATATAAAATGTCTCTGATTTAGTGTGATTTCCTGTTGTCTAGCCAAAAGATTCAGGAAGGCAGGCTTCTAGTGTTTTCAGAAAATGGACTTTTTCTAGAGTAAAAATAGGAGACATGGAAGATCAATACAAAGTAGTTTAATTTTTTTATTTAAATTTTTATTTAAAATTTATTTTAAGTTTATTTCTGTTTAATATTTTATTTATTTTTAAAATTATTTTTAAAAAGGAACCAATTTCATATGTAACAGTTTTAAAAGCATAACGATACTTCCCACCCTACTGTCCCTCCCTCACTACCACTCTCTTCTTCTTTTCTTATTTTTTTTAAATTTTACAATGACATGCTTTCAATTTCTTTCTAATCACAAGACTAACCCTCTACTAAATAAAGTTGTCAAGGATGCTGTAGAAACAATCAAGATATCAGATTATGACTGATTAGTCCAAAATAAAATGAAGGCTTCCTCCCATCCTCAACATTTATGATTTCAACGATTATTTTTAAATATCTGAGTCTCTCCCAACTGTTGTAACAAGCCTTCAAATTGATTATAAAAAAAATGCACCCAAATCATAAGGAAAGCTAGAAGAGGGGGTATATGAAATTACTCTGAGCACAAGTGACTTAGAGAAGAGTGTGAATGCGAGAGGATTAGCCCTGGACACCCCAGCCTCTATGTCATAATTCTGGGGAAGATGATAGGGGACACTCTGTAGGACAATACTCAATTCTTTGATCATCCACCTTTCCCTTATATGCCATAGTCCACAAGAAGATGGTGTGAAAGCAGATGTCATTATGGTATTCCAGTTCCCCTCTACTGGACGAAGAGCAGTTAGAGAGAAGAAAGTCCACAGCATCTTAAAACAAAAGATAAGGAACATAAGAGCCTTGAGGATAAATGCCTCATCAGTTCAAGTTAATGGTAAGTTGATGCCTTCCTATGTGATCTGAAGTTCTTAATAAGGTCCAAGTTTTGTCTAATCTTAAACTTATCATATTTTCTATTCCAAATAACAGCTATAATTCAGATGGAAGAATTCCATGTTAAAGAAGTGAAATTTTCAGGTTTTATTATTCTCTGATGAAAGCATATTTAAGCTTAGTCATTAAGTGGTTTTCTCAGTAGTAATTGATTGGCACTCATCCCAAAATAAACCCAAACCTCTACCAGTAACAGAAGGTTAATCTGATCTAGTCACTGCCTCTATGACTAAGCAAGGGAAAACACCATGAGTTGAGTAACAGCTGCATTTCTGGGTGGGACCTTCCTAAAACACACACTCATCTCTTGCCTCTGAAAAGTGTGGATAGTTTCTGTATATGGTGACATTGCGAGGTTTCTGTTAGCTTTTTATCCCATAAGCATTCGGGAAAATGATAAAACAACTCTGGGGACATTAAAGCCATCAGAAAAAGAATGCTTTAAAAATCACTAAAGTAGGGGGAAAAAATCACTGAAACTATTTATACATTGTTCTGATTTTCTTATGTTGTTGTTCGCTTAAAGCTGGTTATAGTATTACCACTTTTCTTTAAAAATTTTATTTATTTATTTATTTATTTGAAAGTCAGAGAGAGAGATTGATCTTCCTTCCACTGGTTCAACCTAAAATGCTTGCAACAACCAGGGCTAGGCTATACCAAGGCCAGGAAAAAAGAAGTCCTTCCAGGCTTCTGACATGGGTGGCAGGAACCTCAGTTCTTGTGTCATCACCTGCTGCCTTCCTAGGCACATTAGCAAGAAGCTGGCTGAGAAGCATGGAATGGCCAGGACTCAAACCAGATATTCTAGTGTCTGATTGTATGTCCCAAGTGGTGCCTTGACCCCCTGCACCACAATGACTGCATCTATCACTGCTTTAATTTTTTTTTTTTTTATTTTTTGACAGGCAGAGTGGACAGTGAGAGAGAGAGACAGAGAGAAAGGTCTTCCTTTTGCCGTTGGTTCACCCTCCAATGGCCGCCGCAGCCGGCGCACCGCGCTGATCCGATGGCAGGAGCCAGGAGCCAGGTGCTTTTCCTGGTCTCCCATGGGGTGCAGGGCCCAAGCACCTGGGCCATCCTCCACTGCACTCCCGGGCCACAGCAGAGGGCTGGCCTGGAAGAGGGGCAACCGGGACAGAATCCGGCGCCCCGACCGGGACTAGAACCCGGTGTGCCGGCGCCGCAAGGCGGAGGATTAGCCTAGTGAGCCGCGGCGCCGGCTTATCACTGCTTTAAATGAAAGAAAACCAACCTGCATCAAAGCCTATCTCTATGTTCTTACAAATATTTATTTATTTATTTATTTGGAAGGCAGAGAGAGAAATTTTCCATCCACTTGTTCATTCCTCAAATGGCCATAATAGCCAGGGCTGGGCTAGGTTGAAGCCAGGAGCCAGGAACTTCAACCTGGTCTCCCACATGGGTGACAGATGTCGCTCCCCCTCTTCGCGGAGGAACGACACAGGACCCTGCGCTGTTCTTTTGTCTGCTCGGCCCTTCCCGGGTTTGCTGCTGGTTCTTCCCTGGTTGGCTGGCAACCCCTCCACCTCCGTGGAGGGGCAGTTCCCCCTGCCACTTTCCCCACTTCCGCGGGGGAGCAGCACACCGCCGGCCGGCTCTCTCGGGGGCTGCTCAGATGTTATCCGGATGTTCCTGGTGCATGTTGTCTCTCTCCTCCTTTATAGTCCTCTTCCACCAATCCCAACTCGGCTACCCACACGGCTGCTCTCCTCCAATCAGGAGCAGCTCCTGCAGTTTATTGGTCGAACTGGAGGCAGCTGTGTAGAAGTTGTTTACTCCTCTCCCAGTGCCATATTGTGGGAGAGCAGATGCATAGAATAAGTTTTAATTCCAGTAACTTAGTCTAGTCCAAGTTGCTCCCCACAGACAGGGGCCCAAGCACTTGAGCTATCTTCACCTGCCATCTAAGGCACATTAGCCAGAAGCTGGATTAGATGCAGAATAGACAAGATTCAAACTGGTACTCTGATAAGGGCAAGCAGTGGCTTAACCTGCTGTGCCACAACGCCAGTCCCTATTTCTACGTTCTTTACATGGCAATATCTAATCTGATTTCTATATTCCAGTGGAGTAGGTAATTTCACTTTATTGATTTAAGGGAAAAAAAGAACTTAGGGAATCTAATAACTAAAAGGAGCTGAGATTAAAATCTAGACTTCTAATTTCTTGAGAGGCTACATGAAAAAGGGTTTTGTATTCAAACACATTTTAGACATATTGCCTATGAAACTCATCCCTTATATTATCATTTCAAAGACTTTGTGGAGTGCAGCTAGACAAAAACTGGTTTGCCTTCACCCACTAAGTTGTGTCTGCTTCCAGCAGACAAGTGCAGATCCCCTCCCCAAAGCCCAATAGATACCAGACTTAAGCGAGTCACAGATGAGAACTAAGTGATTTAAGTCAGACATGAATCAGGATGCCCTTCCCTCATAAGGGTCTAGCTGACTCTTCAAGAAGAAAGCTTATCAGGAAGTAAAAATCTGAGGTAATGGAATGGGTAGACTTTTGCTGATCTGACAGAGTCAGCTACTCAGAGCATAAAGCTGTGGGCCTCTCCCAGCCAGGAGGAAGGAAAACTGCCAAGCACCTAATCCACCTCCTTTGTTGGGTAGGAAAGCAAATGAATTGAGGTTGTGCAATAGTGGCCATTCCAATAAGTTACATGATGAGTTCTATGTAATTTCCAATAGCCAGTTAATTTGTCAGGATTTTAAAAGCCTGGGCCATCTGAAACCAGAAATGAAACATGAAATGATCATTGGCTGCCTGGCTTTTTTGTCTCTCACAGGCTCAGCTGATGAGTTTCATCTTATTTTATTGGCTGTACAAGATTAAAAGGAAGGATGTGCTGATTTAAGAGCCCCCTGACTGATTCTAACCCTAATGAGTCACTGTAGGACCACCCACATAATCAGCCCATGCCTTTCACTCCATATTCTCATCTGCAGAATTGTGATGATAAAGTTTATTCTTCCTGAAAACACAAAAATGTTCTGAGAACATATGAGAAAGTAGAAAACATAATGCCAGAACATAGAGGCTATTACTACCTAAAAAGCTGTTAAGTTGCACCTATGCTTTGGAAACATGAAAGTATTAATGTGAATGATTGGTTGCAAAAAGATCTAGACTCTTGAAGGTTTCAGAATTTTTTAATGTAAAGAGTAGAAAAGACCTTAATGGAGAGCTCAATGGAATCCTTCATGTAATTCTTAGATGCATAAATACTGCTATTCAAGAACCCTTAATTTTGAGACTTCCAATAAATAGAAAATTGCAGAGATTCCAGACCTAGTCAAGAAATTATGCTGTAGCCCAAATTTTATCCATAATTTGTCAGAAAACTGTGCTTTGTTTGGGCAAATAACCAGGTGATGTGAGTCTCCCACGAGATGCAATCTGTCAAAGCAAAGTGCTACTGGTAAAGTACTACTGGTAAAGTAGTGACCAGGGCTCTGGTAAAGTATCTCATGGCCATTTCTAACATGTGCTCCATTTCCCATCATCCTTTTAGTTCAGAGAGCCCTGAATACTATTAAGATTTTCCAAATTCAGAAGTGTGTTAGGTGGTGGCCACTTTTGAGATTAATGTGTTAATGTTTCTTTTTATTCCTATATCTGAAAAGTAAAACTATTGGATCAAAATTAAAATATTATGCAGTCAGATACTTGTGAATTGACAGTTTATCTCCAAGGTATAATCATTCTCTGAAAATCCCATCCTCAAAAATCCAATTATATTCACAAGCATGATGCTCACCCTAGAATTATTCTTGGAAGTGGATGACTTGCAACTTGCTGAGAATAAGCTGACAGTTTTAAGTAAGGAATTCTATCATTACACTATTTTTCATCTTAATGGATTACTAAGGACAAACTAAATCACTTTCTAAAGTTGAAACAAGTTCCGGAAGAGTTTCCTCTGCTGCTTCTTCCCCAACTCTTCCTTGAACCTGCAGTATCTCCACTTTTATTAAACTGTCTGTACCCGGACTATCAGTGTGCTCCCTTCTATTCCGCCATCTTGCCGCTCTGCACTTTTGGAAAACCATAATTATATAAGGATATAAACTATTTGTAGATTTTAATCATATACTGTTTGTGCCTTACTCATGCACTTATGTTTAAGATATTATCCACCTAATTAGAAGTTGCCCATAAGTCTCTGCAAACATTATTATAGCAGATAGCCATTATCCTGACTGATCTACATACCCAACTGTCTAGAGTCTATATACGGTCAGTTTTCTCTGATAATTCCTGGTTATTGAAACCATCCAGGAGAATCTCAAATTATCACTTTGTTCTATTTGTTTTTCAGCAATGAGCTCATCAACAGGGAAGCTAACTGTCCAAGCATGTAAGTCTAGCTAGCGTATATAAACAAGTTCAATTTCCACATCAGAAAGGACATTTTGAAATATTAGCTCATAATTTCCTACAGATATTTTACACTGTCTTTGGGAGAGAATAACAATTGGGTGACAGGTGTTACATTTTTTCCTAGCTCTAAGACTTATCTTTTAGTCACACTCAAGAAAGATATTTTACAATTTGAAGAAACTATATGTTTCTGGTTTGGAAAATGTGGACTTGCTTTTCAAATTTATCTAATGTAATGAAACATGTTTTCTGCTGAAAAATAAAATAATGTGAAAATGATCCATAGAGAGGAGAGAAACTCTGTTATCTGTGACTGACCTACAAAATGTGCTTAATATTCTCACCCTCTTAGCTGGCAGAGGCTTTACTGACTGACTTCAAATAACTTTCTTATATACTGGAAGATCTTACAAAATGGGCAGAAATCGAGCAGTGCTTTACATGCATTCATCTCTGGATTTTGCAAACACCCTAAGCGTTTGTATTTATTTATTCATTCATTCATCCATTCATTCGTTTGTTCAGGAAATATCTTTTAATATCTGCCAAGTGCCAGAAAGTGTGGCAGGAGCTGGGAGTATGTATCATTGAGAGAAAAAGACATGATCCCTACCCTAAAATTAGTGTTCAAAAATAAAGACATAAACAAGTCAGGAAGTATTAAAATAGTGTGATACAGTCTACAAGTAGATACATCCTCCACAGTGCTAGCAGAATCCATCCCAGCTATCCTGTTCTTGTGGGATCAGGAAGTGACACCTGGTTCAGAGGAAAGAGAGGCCACAAATCAAGCAATAGGCAACATGGGTGTTCCCAGGCAAGGGCAGCAGTACATAAAGATGTCTTCAGCAAGCAAGAAGGTGGTCATTTCTTATCATTGAAAGAGGTCAGAATGGTTGGAACATAGAATAGGAACTGGGAGTCATGGGAAAGGGGTGTGATTAACAGAAATCAAGGACCAGAACCACAGGGAAGCATTTCATTGTATTTAGAGGGCAATAAAGAGTCCCTGAAGAGTTCATCCAGTTCAGAAAGATCACTCAGGTTACAGCGAGGAGAGAGGATTGGAGGGGCAAGACTGGCATCAGGAAGAGGGATTAGGAAGCTGTTGTGGTGTTTAGGATGATGGACCACACATTGCTACAGTCTGAACTATAGAATGGCAGTGACAGAAGTCATGTTCTAAAACAGCTGGCCAATTGCAGTATAATCAGTACCAGCAAACTGGATTTTCTTTTTTGATACCTAATTACTGGGAACAAGAATTAAACCTATCATATTTTCTTCATTAGTACCATGCCCTAAATAGAATTAATCCATAACATGAATAGCAAAATAGCAAGGTAATCTAATCACATACACATACTAGAGTCCATGCTTATTCCTGACAATAGTGAATGTGATATTTACATGGAAACATGGATCTCTCCCTATTGAAACTGGTCCTAATACATTAACACCTGCACACTTTAGAGACCATTTATTCAGAAAACAGAGGAGAAAGGGGATTCAAACAAATACACAATTGTTTGGCCATGGGGAGTTGTTCTGTAAGGATTTCATGTCACGATAACACTGCTGGATTCCCTAAAACTGGGAAACAACAGTCTTAGGTAGCAGCTCCCAGGATATCTGGATAATTGATGCTCAAGTCTCCAGGATTGGATCATGTATGCTGTGCCAAATCTTTTCAGCTTAACATAGCTTCTGTAGGCAGTATATATCTACATCTACAGAGGTAGGAAATGGGGAAAACTTCAATACATCAGGAAATACAAAGAATGGACAATGAACTAGTACATCCTTATATAATGGTAAATGCAAATATTGCATGGTGATACTTTAGAGTCTCTGCTTCAAAGATTAGAGATTTCTTCTCACTTCATGATCTCATCCTTTTCAGGTTGTGGCAAACGTACTGTCCCATTAATTGTCAACAGAATAATGTCTGGAGACATTGCAGCCAAGGCTGCTTGGCCTTGGCAAGCTTCCCTTCAGCGTGATAACATCCACCAGTGTGGGGCCACCTTAATTAGTAATACGTGGGTCGTCACTGCAGCACACTGCTTTAAGAAGTAAGTCATTGACCTTAAGTTGGACCACTGTACTGGTAAAAATCCTTGAGTCTTATCATGTTCTGGATACCAAGCAATGTACCAAATATTATTAAAGTAAAATCAGGAAATCTTTTTTCAGATTCTTTTCAAAAATAATGCTACACTTCAAAACTTATTTGAAACATTTGGTGAGTATAGACAGAATAGCAGTCATTATCCCAGTATTTTACATGAAGTCTTCAGAGTTTTAAACAGAGAAATGGTGTAAGAAAGTAGATATCATCCTACACAAGGTATTGTCTACTAACATAGCAAATGGGTCCCTTCTCAAACAATGATCTACACTTCATATTAGTGTCTCTTTCTGCCAAACACTTGGGCTACTTTCATGCTGATCATAAATAATCAAGTTAATTGCAAAAATGAAATTGAAATCTTCAATGAATACAGAAAGTTGGTAATTATAATAACGAAAAATTGCTCAAATCAAATTTAATGGGATTGATGTGTAAAGAGTTGGTTGAATTTGAACAGTTCACAAGCAAAATGAGAAACTGACAGAATGATAAAGACTTCAAAAGACATTCCTTTGCTTATATGATGGTAGAGGCTCTCTGTGATCTTTATATAATAAAGCGCTCTTGACAATATTGCTACAATAGCAAACCTGAAATGAAGAATATAGAATTATGCTTTCATATAATTGCTTTTCAAAGTAATAAAAACTTTATTATTTTTTATTAAATTTAATAAAATCCTAACTAAAATGTTTTCCATAATTTTTAGTTTTACTTCTCAAGATAATAACCAGCCAGATTTTTTAAACCACTATCACATCGAAAATTTTGGATGTCTTTATAAGTAGATTAACTTCATGACCTTTTCCCTGTACCAATTATGAAGATAACAGACCTTCCTGAATATCTCTGTAAAATCAGTAGCAACAGGATTTAATGGACAAATTATGCCCCAGCCAACAGCAGAGCTGAGTCAAATGTCTGTGACCACAGTCAAGTTATTAAAACTTAGTGTATTAAGAAACAGATAATCAGATCTTCTCACATTCTTTTTGACTTCTAATATTCTAACTTTTATTGCCATAAAAAATTTTATGTACCTATGAACAGAAATCTCTATATCAATTTTTAGTGTTCTCTAGATATACATAATCTATGTAGATTGTTTTATATAAATTATATTACTACTTAAAATTTTGATTCACATGTAACTTGTATGTTTTTATGGATAGAGTGTAATATTTTAACACACATGCACAGTATAAACCAACCAAGCCAGGCAACCAGCCTTCCCATTCCCTGTGTTTTTCTTGTGTTTAGATTCTTCCAGGTCTTTACCTCGAGTTCTTTATACAGTATACATTACTGAGATCTATAGTCACCACATTATATTGTGGAATCCAAGAACTTGTTAATATCTGACTGTGCTTTGGCATCCATTTTATCTGATCTCCCTCTATTCCCTTCCCATGCACCTTTCCAACCTGTGGTATTCACTACTCTGAGTTCAGATCAACTATATTTTAACTACCACATACAAGGAAGAACATATTGTATTTGTCTTTCTGTGTCACATAATGATGTCCAGTTCTATCCATTTAGTGGCAAATGTGAGAATTTCATTCTTTTTATGACTGAATGATATTCCATGATGCATATATACCACATTTTCTTTATCCACTCACCTGTCGATGGACATCTAAGTTGATTTCATCTTGGCTGTTGTGAATAGTGCTGTAATTTATCAATTTCAGTGTCTTCAGATATATAACCAGAAGTAGGATAACTAAGGTGTATGCTAGTCCTAGTTTTTAATTTTTTCAGAAACCTCCAGACTGTTCTCCATACTGGCTGTATTAATTCGCACCTCTCACCAACAGTGTATGGGGTTCCCTTTTCTCCACATTCCTGCAAGTATTTGTCATTTTTTTTTTTGTCTTTTTGATAACAGCTATTCTAACTGGTGTGAGATGATATTCCACCGTGGCTTTAAAAACTTTTTATTTATCTACTTTAGAGTCAGAGACAGACAGTGAGTTTCCATCTTCTGGTTTACTTACCAAATCCCTGCAACAGCTGATGCTGGGTCAGGCTGAAGCTGGGAGCTGGGAACTCAAATCAGATCTCCCAGGTGGGTGGCTCCAGAAAGGATCCAACTTCTTGAGTCATCACTTCTTGCTTCCCAAGCTGCTTATTAGCAGAAGTTGGAATCAGGAGAGTATCCAGGCACTCAGATATGGGTTGTGAGTATTCCAATCAAAAATGCCTTAACTGCTAGATCAAGTGTCTGCCCCATTCCTGAGCTATTGACTTGCATTTTCCTGACAACTAATGATGTTGAGCATTTGCTCAAGTATTTGTTGATCAGTTGTGTTTATTTTTTGTTTTTTTCTTTGAGAAACATCTATTCTAATCCTTTGTCCATTTATTAACCAGATTGTTTCATTGTGTTGAGTCTTATATATTCTGGATGTTAATCCTTGTCAGATGAATAATTTGCAAGTATTTTCTCCCATTCTGAAGATTTTCTCTTCAATCTGGGGATCACTTCCTTTGCTGTACAGGACCTTCTTGGTTTGACATAATCCCATTTGTCCAGTTTTGCTTTTGTTGCCTCTGCTTTTGAGGTCTTACCCAAAAAGTTGGTGCCCATACTGTTGTCTTAAAGAATTTCCTCTATGTTTTCCTCTGGTAGCTTCATAATTAATCTCAAGTCTTATATTTAGATCTTTGGTTCATTCTGAGTTGACTTTTGCTTAGGGTGACAGGATGGGGAGGGGGTCCAGTTTCAATCTTCTGCATATGAACATCCAGTTTTCCCAGTACTATTTAGTGAAAAGGCTGGCCTTTCTCCAGTGTATGTTTCTAGCAGTTTTGTCAAAGATCGACTGGTTGGAGATGCATGGATTCACTTATAGAGCCTCTGTTCTGTTCCATTGGCCTCTGTGTCTATTTTTATGCCAGTTCCATGTTGCTTTGGTTATAATAGTTCTGGAGTATATCTTGAAATCTGGTGTTTTCATGCCTCCAGATTTGCTCTTTTTGGTCATGATTGCTTTGACTACTTGACTTTTGTGACTTAGAGATTTTTTTCTAGTTATATGATGAATGTAATTGATATTTTTATGGAGATTGCATTGAATCTCTAAATTGTTTTTGAGTAGTATGCAGGTTTTAATAACGTTCTTTCATTTCATAAACACGGGCTATCATGTCAAATTTTTGTGTCCTGTTCAATTTATTTCATTGGTATGTTGTAATTTTCATTGTATGAGTCCTTCATACCTTTGGTTAAATTTAGTCAAAGGACATTTTGTGTTAGCCATTGTGAATGAGGTTGCCCTTATTCTTCCTGTCTTAGAAAATGTATTATATATGTATAAAAATGCTATTGATTTTTGTTAGTTGATTTTGTATCCTGGAACTTTATCAAATTTATCAGCTCTAACAGTCTCTAAGTAGAGCCTATAGGTTATTCTATAAATAAAACCATGCCACCTGCATACAGGTATAATCTAACTTCCTATTTTCCTATTTGTCTGCCTTTTATTTCTTTGTCTAGCCTAATTGCTCTAGCTAAGACTTCCAGTTCTGTATTGAATAAGAGCAATGATAGTAGATATTCATGCCTGGTTCTGGGTCTTAAAGGAAATGCTTTCACATTTTCCACTATTCAATATGATGTTGAAAATAGACATCATATATACCCTTATTATGTTGAGGAATATTCTATATAGATCTATATGATCAAAAGACATGAGAGCTCAATAGATTATTAGAAAGTTTGAAGTCTCTTATGTAGATGCCTACTTTTGGACTGAATACTTCAAAGTAATAGGGCACTTACTTTGCCAAAGTTAGCCAAATTTATGATAGATACATAGTTTTAATTTTCTATTGCATTTATTTTATTTAAGAGAGAGGTCTCCTATCTACTGATTCACTATCCAAATATTCTCAATAGCCAGGGCTGGGCCATAGCAAAGCTAGGAGCCCCAAACTCAACCAATGTCTCCCATATGGGTGGCAGAAACCCAAATACTTGAGCAATCACCTGCTGCCTCCCTGGGTGTGCATTACCAGAAAGCTGGAATCAGGAACAGAACTGGGGCTCAAACCCAGATGCTTTGAAATTGATGTAGAGACCCCAAGAAATGGCTTAACCACTACACCAAAAACTGACCCCAATAATTCTACTTTTGCAAATATCTTTGTAACATCTAACACCAAATGTGAAATCTAATAACTTCCATAACCAATATTTGTTGTTTTACCTGGAACAACAAAGGCCAAATTTATTTGTTCTTTCCTGTAACTGTTGTTTCTTAGTTCCTCTTTTTCAGACCAAACATAAAATTGCTCAGACTCTCCAAACCATAAGTGAAAAATAAACATTATTGTTTTCCCAGTGCCAACTTCAGATACCCTATCATATTTCTTCTTCCCCAAATGTCCTGTATTTTGTCAGTGAATCCTTTCAGTATGCTTCCAAGAAGTAAACAGTACGCTTCCAAGAAGATAGTAGGACTAATGCCATCCATGACAAATAAAATAGGAAGCCTTCAAAAAACATAAAGAATGTAAATTAAATGCACAGGTAACAAGCACCTTAGTAACTGAACAACTCTATCCAAAGCCTGATGATTCAGAGCGTCTGTTGAAATACTGAGTATACATTTATAGCCTATGAAAGACACTTAACCTCTACTGTGTCCTAGACAGTATATTTTATAGATGTGGCAGATGATGTAGAAGTTATGCTTGACCAATTAGCTAATGCCATAAGACTGGAGAGGAAACAGACGTGTTGGGTTTAAAAAAAGAGAGAGAGAATGAAACTTTAAAAGACCTTTAAATAGCTAAGAGCAATGAGGAGCAACTAAATGATTAAATAAATGTAAGCAGAATAAATGTAAGACTCTAGGTTGGTTTAAAAAAAAAAACCAAGACTATTAGTAGAGAAAGTAGGAATGTGCTTTAAGTTGTAAAAATGATTAGAAATTTTTGTCAAAAGATAGTTCACTTTGAGGCAGTTGTCCCACAGCTATTTTGCAATTTAGACTGCATCAAAAATGTAGAACCCAGAATACATGAGATGTTAGACACTTCGTGGACAAGATCTTACTTGGGATAGTGAATTCTGTCCAGGATGACACATTTAAAGAACTTGACAACATGAAATGTTTTTACAGTAGACAATGTAGGGTGGTAAAGGAAAGGAATATTATTTCCATACAGCCTTGTCCTTCGAAGTATGATCCATGGATCAACAACTCCCCAACACTAGGCAGTTTGTTAGAAATGAAAGCATCCGGGGGCCTGAGCTATGGCAGAGTGGGTTAAGCCACCATCTGCAGTGCTGGCATTCCTATGAGTGCTGGTTCAAGTCCCAGCTGCTTCACTTCCAATCTAGCTCCCTGCTAATGCACCTTGGAAAGCAGCAGAAGATGATCCAGAGCCCTGCATTGATGTAGGAGACCTGGAAGAAGATCTTGGCTATCAGCTTCTGCCTGGCCCATCCCCAGCCATGTGGCCATTTGGGGAGTGAACCTGCAGATGGAAGATCTCCCTGCCCCCATAACTCTGCCTTTTGAATAAATAAATAAATTCTCCAAAACATGAAATGAAAGAATATAAAGACAATCCCAGACCTACAGAATCAGGCAGGAGGCACATTTTAATAAGATCCTGTGATTAAAGTTTAAAAACATTAAAGTTTGGGAAACACTGACTTAAGAGTTTTATCTTGAGAAAGCTGTAGTACAGCTGATAGTTACATTAGTACATATGAAGTACTCTCACAAGGAAGCGAATTGGGGAATCAAGAAAGGACTTGCCAACAGGCAGAGCTTCTCAAAGATGAAAGGGATTACAAGGTGAGGAAAGGGATTCTAAGGTACAGAACATGCCCCCATTTGCAGAAGAGTTCAAGCACAAACAATCACTGATTGAAAGTGTTTTTGTAACAACTATTGCCAATTATTAAGCTCCACTATGCTATTTGGTTAGGAGCCTAAGATTTGTTTTATATAATTCTTATATCCAACCTACTAGGTAAACTCGCCTTGCAAAGCCTTTTTTATTTATCTATTTTTTTTTACTGAGTGGAAAAGTACTGAAGGGGATAAGAAAATTTAAGAAATTGTCTGTCGTTACAATACCAGGAGATGGTGGCATTGAAAAAAAAGCTTAAGTTTTCCTGATGCTAAAATCTATCTTTCAAGCTCTGGATCAGTGAGAACAACAAATGATTTTTTTATGACCTTTCCTGCTCTGAGACAGTTTGATATTATTTCACTGTAATACTGAGCTAATACTTAAATCTCATCACATGGTTGCTTATTTAATCAACAAAATTTCCAGGTCCTGTTTTGGGGGTGACTTTCAGGTCAGGTATCACATTTTGAATTTTCACAATTTACTCTGGAATTTAAATCACTGTGTAATTTATAGTTATCACTATTAAATTTCACCTTATTGATTCTGGTCCAAGGTAGAAGTTTATAAAGTTTATTCTTCATCATAATTTTGTAACTGATTAAGATTTGTCATATAGAAATATAATAAACACGGGCTATATTAAATGGTATCAGGCCACTGCTTGAAAGGTCCAGAAAAATCATTCCCACTCTAGTAAACAAAACTCGAGGTCTGAGCATGTCCAAGTACAAAAATTTGAGTTACAAGTTCATCCAGGCATGAAGTTTTTGTGGATTTGCACCAACAAAAATCACAGAAGACTGACTGATAAACCAATAATGTCAATAAATTTATTTTATATGTACCTTTTTAGTCAAAAATCAATCAATATATATTTAGTTTTTCTCATTTGAGGATTTTTTGCTATCAGCATGGCCTATGAAAAAGTTTTAAATAATAATCCCAGTACAACTAACAGCTGTCAAATTGGACTTACACTCCAGGGATATGTTTATATGCTTCTTCTATGACTAAAGCTATCTATTAAATAAGTAGATTGAGAGACAAGTATCTATATGGATAGTACTTGTCGCTTTGCTTGTCCCTCATGGCTAACATTAGTTCAAGTAATTAGTTAAGGAACATTAATCTTGCAATTAACAGATATGTTTTGGTGGGGAGAGTATTCTATAAAGTAAAAGCAGAGAAAAGTTAGTAGGCCTGCGATACTAGGCAGAGGTTCACCCACCTAAGCCTTAGTGAAGCAAAAGCTTTAGCAGACGATTGCTCATCGTTACTAAGTGATCTCTCTAGAATCTGTGTGCATGGTGATCAGCAGTAGCGCAAGCCCACCAGTTGTGAGTCCACACTCCACCGTAAACCAGGAGACCGATGCAGCGCTCCTGGCAGCCTTGCCCACTTCTGCTCTTGCTCTGCAACAATGTATTCCAGAAAGAACCAACATTATTTTTTAAAAGGTAAATTAGACTACCTCACTCCCCCACCTTAAAAGCATCTAGTGGATTCTCCCAAATCACTTGAATAGATCTGACCTAAAATCTGATCCCTGCCTCTCTCTCCGATCTCATCCTGCACAATTCTTCCCCTTGTGTCGTGAACTGTAGACCATCTGGCCATGGCCTTGGGACATTTGCCTAGAAACCTGTCTTTGATCATCCCACAGCTGACTGCTCATCAGCTATGTCTCAGCCCAAATATGCCACAGCCCCCCACAAAAAAAAAAAAAAAAAACGTTCTTGACTACTCCTATTTTTCTTTCTCACTACCTTATTTTATTTAATTCATAGCCTTTGTTTCTGAAATTATCCACTTCTAAATCTGTGTTAATCTTTTTTCTTCTCATATTCCCATGGGCAGGAACCTTACTGTCTCGTCCACCACTTTATCCCTAGCACTTTGGATAAGACTTGCCACACAGATGTTCAATAAATATTAGCAGAAAGAACACATGAGTGATGTTGTAGGTGCCTTTTATTCCTAAAATCCAATAATTCTGTATTGAATGTCAGGTCTAACATGTCATTTGTATATATTTTACCTATAGACTGTATTTAAATGGTAAAAAAAAAAAACAAAAAAAAAAACCAAACCTGTAATTGGGCCAAGACTTCTCTGTATTGCATTTTGTTAGCCTAAATGTAATGAATGCACACATTCTGTGCAGTTCACGTCTTCTGTGAATGCCTAACCTTTCCCAGCAATGCGAATCCACGTCAATGGACTGTCAGTTTCGGAACCACGATCAACCCTCCCTTGATGAAAAGAAACGTCAGAAGGATCATTGTCCACGAGCGCTACCGCTCCCCAGCGAGAGAGTACGACATCGCGGTGGCGCAGTTCTCCCCCAGAGTCGCCTTCTCAGACGACATACGCCGCGTTTGTTTGCCGGAAGCTTCCGCCTCCTTCCGACCGAATTCGACGGTCTACATCACCGGATTCGGAGCGCTTTTCTACGGTGGTGAGTATCCTAGAGCACCTGCGGCCCTGTCGAATAAGCTCCATCAACATTGCCCTGCCAGCCACTTCCACACAACTGGGTAGGAAACGTTGAAGCTCCTGTTTGACAAGTAACAGAAACAGAACTCAAACTAAATAACGCAGAAACAGAAACACAAAACCAGAAAATGTTGGTCTGGGTAACTTGGAAGTCCAGTTAAGTCTGCTTTCAGACAGATTCAGCATTTCGCAGGGTTTGGGGGATTCTAGCGCCACATAGTGGTAAAGCTGGCTAACAACAACTCCAAGCTCACACCAGCGTCACTCGATGAATTGAAGGGGAAGAAATTTTCCTTTGCCACAATAATCTGAAAAGTCATCGCACTGCCCCAGCTGTGTCCAGCGGCACTCACACTGATTGGCCAATTCAAATGCGCTGATATGTATGCAGCACAATTTGCTACAGTAATCACGAGACTAAGAAATCATCAAAGCATTTCACTCTCTCTCAAATGATTGAATGCCATATATTAGCTTAATTTCCGCAAAAATAATAATGATTTAGTTTTTAATTTTTTAGGCACTCTAATTCAGGCACACTCTGGATTCTAGAATGTGGTCCACGAGGAATTTCTTTAATTCTGCAATTGCAAAAATGAAAAAGGACTCTCCACATAGGACAAAATCTACCCATCAAACTCAATACAATACATAAAAAATTTACTAGTAATAAGCCTTTCATTCTCAGTCTCCCTTGAGGAACAAGAATAACCTTTCAGTATCTTGGCCAGAAATTGGCTTTGTGTTCTCCAGATTATTTGCAGATAGTCCATGTTATTTGGTTCCACCTTCAAGAAACTAAAATATTTATTGCTTTCCTTCATGTCAATTTATCAGTCACTGGAAATAGTACCATGGTTTATCAGTTTTAGTAGAGCTGCAAGTCTGACACCTGTCTCTGCACCCCCTCCAATGGGTTCTGTCGTTAGTGTGCAGTCTGTGCTTCAAAATGACGGAAGGGACATCACAATTTCCTTCTGGCTTGGTGGGAAAAGTCATTTTTTGCCCAAAGCCTGACATAATAGATGCGAGGAGCAAGAAAACCTGATGTTTATAGAATACTCCAGCCCACAACAGCAGCATACACAGTGATTACAAGCATCCATAGATCACCCACCCGGAGAGACCATATCCAATTTCATAAAACACACATTAACAAATTTAAAAGAATCATACCATGTGTATTCTCTAATCATAATGATAGAAAACTAGAAATCAGTAACCAAAAGATTGCAGATACTTTCCAAAGCCCTAGAAATCAAATTATGTACCTATAAATAAAAAATCCCTAGGAAAATTCTTAAAAATACATAGAACTGAATGAAAACTATACACATATGTAATGAAAACTATATATTTGCAGGATACAGCAAAAACAGTATTAGCAGAAATGTGTAGCAAATACATACATTAAAAGAGAAGGTCTTAAAAACTGAAAAAGTAAAGAAAGTAGAACCCTAAAACATACCAAAGGAAGGAAATAATAAAGAGTAGAACTGAGTGAAATTAAAAGCAAGGACATAATAGAGAAAATAAATTAAAAATTTTGATAAATTCAATATCTTGTGAGAAATGACATTAAACATTCCCACAGTCATTGATATATATTCAGACTTGCCCAGATTTATAGATTGTGCTTTTAATAACCTGGAATACATTTGCTAACTAGTTTGTTGAAAAAGTTATGAATTTACACTGTCACCAACAATATGTAGATTGTCAGTTTCATAAAATTATTTTATGTATTTTTGTATTTATTTAAAAGACAGAGTGACATAAAGAAAAGGACAGAGAGAGAGAAAGATCTTCCCTCCACTTGTTCACTCTTGAAATGCCCGCCACAGCCAGACGAGGCCAGTCTGAAGCCAGATTGGAACTCCATGTGGGTCTCCCATTAGGGAGGTAGGGACCCAAGTACTTAAACCATCACCTGCTGCCTCCCAAGGTGTACATTAGCAGGAAACTGAATTGGAAGCACAGGCAGGACATATACGCACGTGTGTGAGTGTGTGTGTGTGTGTGTATCAATTGTATTCAAAGAACAGAATAACATGAAAATCCTTTGGCATATTTCTGAGAAATTTTAAAAATCCAACTTTTTTTAAAGACTTTATTTATTTATTTATTTGAAAGTCAGAGTTACACAGAGTGAGAAGGAGAGGCAGAGAGAGGGAGAGAGAGAGGTCTTTCATCCACTGGTTCACTCCCCAGATGGCTGCAATGGCTGGAGCTGAACTGATCTGAAGCCAGGAGCTTCTTCTGGGCCTCCCATGTGGGTTCAGGGGCCCAAGAACTTGGGCCATCTTCTACTGCTTTCCTAGGCAATAGTAGAGAGCTGGATCAGAATTGGAGCCACCAGCACTGGAACTGGTGCCCATATGGGATGCCGGCACTGCAGGCAACGGCTTTACCCGCAATGCCACAGCACTGGCCCCAGTATTCTTCAACTTTGCTGAATTCATTTTTCAGTTCTAATAGTTGTTTGGTGGACTTGGTGTTTTCTATATGTATAAGAACATGTCATCTGCAAACAGTGACCATTTAACTTCCTCCTTCTCAATCTGGACGCCCTTTCTTTCTTCCTATTGCCTGGCAGCTCTGACTAGGACTTCCAGTGCAATGCTGAATAAAAGTGGAGGAAGTGAGCATCCCTGCCATTGTTATTTATGGCCTTTTATGCTTCTATACTTGATCTGTTCAGAGTTTTTAGTCATGAAGGGATATGCATGAAAGCTCTTCATAAAATATAGACGATAAAGTAAAGCACATAGATGTATAGTTGTTTTATCAAGTCTAGGAAGAAGACCATCTAGGCATTCAAAGTCTCTGTGAGCAATCTGGAACCCATAAACACAAACTTTATGAAATACAATGCCCACCTTAGATATATTAACTAATTATTTTAAAAGTAAAGGCACAAAGGTTTTACACACAAAAAAAGAAAACAATGGTTTTCTTACTTATAAAAATGTTATAGGATAATAAGTATCATTAAATTTACCAAAATGTATTCAGAATTTTTTTTTCTTTAGAAACTAGTTATATTAAACTCATTATGCACTGAAAATTTTAGCATGAAAAATATTAGGTTGGTGTGTTGGTATAGTGGGTTAAGTCGGCCACCTCCAACTGTGGCATCCCATATGGGCACCGTTTTGAATCCCAGCTGTTCCACTTCTCATCCAACTCCCTGCTAATGCAGCTGGGAAAGCAGTGAAAGGCGGCCCAACTGATTGGCCACATGGGAGGCCCCGATGAAGTTCCTGGCTCCTGGCTTCAGTCTGGCACAGCCCCAGCCATTGAGGCCATGAGAAATGGAACAACAAATGGAAGATCTCCCTCTCTCTGTCTCCCTCTCCCTCTCTCTCTCTCTTTGTGTGTGTGTGTGTGTGTGTGTGTGTCCCTCTTGCTCTGTAATTATGCCTTTCAAATAAATGAAATGAAATAAAATAAAAAAGTCTATCTACTTCAGTCTAGCTAAGGATGCTGATTGTGAATATTAAATTTACTTTTTTTCTCCTTAAGGGGAATCCCAAAATGATCTTCGAGAAGCCAGACTGAAAATCATAAGCAATGACGTGTGCAAGCAACCACAGGTGTACGGCAATGATATAAAATTTGGGATGTTTTGTGCCGGATATCTGGAAGGAATTTATGATGCCTGCAGGGTAAGTTGAAGAGATTATTTTGATATCACTAAGTTAAAAACCTTATCTGGCCCAGGAAATGTTGTATGTTTTTAATATTAGTATAAAATGCAGATATTGTGCTATCTTGAAAAAGTTCTAAATGTACATTTCACAACACAAATGTTTCTGAATGGTTTCTTAAAGTAACAAACATAATTTAAATTTCTTAATAAATAGAAATCCAAAAAAGTTCTTTTCCTTACAGGAATAATAGTCTAGAATGTAAATGATTGCATTCAATGAACTATAATGTGAAGTTACATAAATGATATAAATTAAGAGCAAATTTTTTTCTTGCGTTGAAGATTTGGGCAACAAGTATCATAGAAATGTTGTTAAATGATGCCTGATGAATAAATGGCACTTACCTAGTTACAGAATAAGAAAAGAATATCACAGGAAAGAGAAGGAGAATCAAAACTGTGAAGGTGTGGCGTTACAATCCACATTTGAGGAAACCCCAAGGAACCTGCTGGGTCAGAGCTTAAGGAGTGTAAGAGGCGAGAGAATACTTCACAGTGGAAGGTGGATTAGGCCACGTTATGCATGTGGGCTCGCCTTTCCTGGTGATTTCCTGTCTCCTTCAACATCTGCCCGGAATGTATATTTTCCAACAAAAGTTTGACTGTTTCTTCCTGGAGGAACTTGCTTTTTTTTTTTTTTTTTTTTGGAATTCTTTTTTTTTTTTTAATTTATTTAATGAGCATAAATTTCCAAAGTACAGCTTATGGACCACAATAGCCTCCTCCCCACCCCCCCGTGTCTTCCCTCCCATCCACAACGCTCCCCTCTCCCACTCCCTCTTCCCTTCCCCTTCACATCACAATTAATTTTCAATTATCTTTATATACAGAAGATCAATTTAGCATATGTTAAGTAAAGATTACCACATTTTGCTCCCACACAGAAACATAAAGTGTAAAATACTATTTGAGTACTAGTTATAGCATTAATTAAACACCTAAGAGTAATTGTGTATTAATTACAGAGCTCAACCAATAGTTTTAAGTAGAATATAAAACGCATCTTTTGCATTGTTGTGGCTTCCCCCCCGACCTCCCTCCCTCCCGTGGCCCTCCCCTCACCCACTTCCTCTCCCCTCTCCCCCCTTCATCACGTTTCATTTTCAGTTACCTTCATATACCGAAGATCAATTTAGTATATACTAAGCAGGGATTTCAACAGGTTGCACTCACACAACCGAACCAGGTATAGGGTATTGTTCGACTAGTAGTGTTGTTTTTGAGTTTCATAGATAAACATATTAAGGACAGAGATCCTGCGAGGGGAGCATGAACCCAGTGACTCCCGTTGTTGATTTAACAATTGGCACTCTTATTTATGACGTCAGCAATCACCCGAGACTCTTGCTATGAGCTGTCTAGGTTATGGAGGCCCCTTGAGTTCACCAACTCTGAATACTCAATCAGACCTACCTCCAATGGTGGAACTGGAAATGTGCCAGGGGATTTCAACTCAATCTTACCAAGGAGGCAGGTTCCAATGCCAGCACACTTGGTAAAGAGACAAATATAAATACACAACTGATCCAAAAAGATAGGGTAAGTGTCGAAGAGAGTACACAAATAAGACCAGTGTAAGCAAATAATGAAGGATAGAATCAAAAGGGTTGAGAATGATCCTGCGGGGGAAGCAGGTCACACAGCAGACTCATAGAATGGCAAATGCCCAAAACAGCACTCCTGCCTCAGAATCAACCCTTGGGACATTCGGATCTGACTAAAAGGTCCATGAGAGTCTCTCAGGCATGGAAAGCCATGACACGGTGGCAAAAAACAATCTAAATGAAGGATCCTGGCGAACAACACTCCAGCAGAAGGATCAGGCCATCAAGGAGAGAGGCGCCTTTCTCTGAAGGGAGGAAGGAACCTCCACTGTGATATGGCCTTGACTAAACAAATTCAGAGTTGGTGAACTCAAGGAACTTGCTTTTTAACTTGCAATTCTTGGAAACTCCAAAGAGGTGACCCTACATAGTGAGATCATGAAAATGACGTTGATTTCAGGTAGCAGAAAGCTCTGCCCAAAGTCTTCCCAAACTACACAGCTTCTGTCTGGAAATGAGCAGGGACTTTGTAGCCTATGGGCTGGGCAGGAATGGGAAAAAGAAAGCCAGAACTGGGGGACTCCAGCAAGAGGTCAAAACCGTGGGAAACAGGTGGAAAGGGGCAAGAAAAATCCTGGAGTAGATGGGATTCAGGAATCCAAACAGTGAGATTAGCAATGAGCCTCAGGGATGATTCGTGGTGACAGGGAGGCTCCACAGGATAAGAAGCAGAGGCAGGATTCCTGCCTGACAGTGCAAGTGAGTAATAAGACAAAGCTTTGGTCACAGAAAAACAGGGTGAGTTATAAGCAAAGTGACTCAGGCATAAGAATTGAGTGGAGAATACAGTGATTGCAACCAGGGGATGAGCTGAGGGCCCTAGTCAGATAAAACAGAAGTCGCAGCACCAGAATCAGTTTGACTTTCTCAGATTTACCAAATACTGATCTACAGCTCAACAAATCCTCTTCCCTATGTATAAGGTTGGTCCCAAATCCTGCTTGGAGAGGAAATAAGACAGAGAGAGGGAGCCTTTAATTTTTCAGTCAGAGATCTAGGTAAGACCAAAACACAAATGACAAATGGATCAGAACTGCTGAAATGCAAACCTTTGACAGCTTTGTCCAGATTTGTGATTCTGCTAACCCCTCAATGGCCACTACAAAGCCAGGAGCCAGGTGCTTCCTCCTGGTCTCCCATGCGAGTGCAGGGCCCAAGCATTTGGGCCATCCTCCACTGCACTCCCAGGCCACAGCAGAGAACTGGACAAGAAGAGCAACTGAGACAGAATCTGGCGCCCCAACCGGGACTAGAACCTGGGGTTCCGGCACCACAGGCAGAGGATTAGCCAAGTGAGCCGCGGCACCGGCCAGGATCTCTAGTTGCAACCACACAGGCACTACTACTCTGATTGGAAAGCTCTCTCAAAATGGTGTTCAGAATCATTCCTGAAAACAGCCAGTGGATTTTGGCAACATTTTTCTTTAGGACCCATAATTTGAAATTAGGTAGCTGGTGACATGATATATGGAAAAATTAGTCCTGAAGTATCCCAGGAAGAAACAGAGGAGCAGGGACTTAAACCAGGCACTCCAATATGGGATGCAGCCACCCCAAGCAGCATCTTAATTGCTATGCTAAATGCCTGTCCTTAATCTTTTCTTTTAAAGTGTATTAACCAATAAGAACAAAAGAGAAAGATTGAGAAGAAAATCTGGCACAATTTTGAAGGAGAGAGAGAAGGTGGAAGAATTTTAACTGACTTAGTAGAGAGCTTAATCCATAAATGTTTTAGGTAGAAAGAGGTGCAGAATGCCAATTTTATTTATTTTTTTAAAATATGATTTTATTTATTTGAAAGAGTTACAGAAAAAGGTAGAGACAGAGAGAGAGAGGTCTTCTACCCGCTGGCTCACTCCCCAATTGGCCACAACAGCTGGAGCTGCGCCGATCCGATGCCAGGAGCCAGGAGCCCCTTCCGAGTCTCCCACGTGGGTGCAGGGGCCCAAGGACCTGGACCATCTACTGCTTTCCAAGGCCATAGCAGAGAGCTGGACTGGAAAATGGAGCAGCCAGGACCAGAACCGGCACCCATGTGGGATGCTGGTGCTTCAGGCCAGGGCGTTAACCCGCTGCACCACAGTGCCGGCCCCCAAAATGTCAATTTTAAGTAAAAGTCAGCATCTGAGAGATAACAGCACACTGAAGGTTGGGGTCAGACATAAGCTAGAAAAACAGAAGGGAGTAGTTAAAGACCTCTCAGAGAAGACTTAACACCTCCCATTTCTCCCTACTCTTAATAACCAGGAAACCACTCCCTCCACTTCTCACAGCACAAGCCCCTCCCTCCAATCTAGAAACTCAAGATCTGGGAAGTAGCTAAGTAGCCACTGAATCTGAGGCCCTTTGAACACAGTGACATCAAACCCAGCTGAGAGCGGAAGGGAGTCGTCATGGGCTGACAAGGTGGAGACTATCTGGGACCAGCCCTCAATCTCCTGCCATGTAGCGTCACAAAACACAACAGCAGGTATATACCATTCCTCCAGCTTTCTTCTAAAGCAGGAGATTGTAGTGTTCTCCTCTAGAGAAGACCAGAGCCTAGAGAAAAGTTCCCCACATGCCGATATTTAAAAGACATTTTGCAGAATAAAGAGCCTCAGCCAACACACAAGCATGGAGCTTCAAATCTAGGCTCTAGTGCCTTACTCTACAGCCAATCAGAGAGCAATTAGCTCTGCAAATGTGGCAATAATACAATCATAATTTTAAAAGTCCAGTGGAGGGACTGAAAGCTAAAGTCAAAAATATTTCAGAAAGAAAAAAATACAGTGAGGAGGAAAATAAGAAGAGTTAAGAAAATTAGAGCATAGATGAGTAGGTCAAGCATCAAAAGATGTGAGTTTTGAAAGCAGGAAACATGGGTAGACTTATCAAAGAAGCAATAAGAGCACTATTTCAGGTCTGAAGTGTACTGCCTTCGGTTAAAAAAAGAGCCCAGATAGTGTTGGGTGCAATCAATGAAGAGATTCTTTCCAAGGCCTAGCACTGCCAAGTCTCAGAATACTAGGATAAGGAGAACTGCCTTAAAGCTTTGAAGGAAGCCACGTCAGGCCCACCCAGAACTTCAACATTAATACTAGAAGAGAAAAGACTGTGGAAAATGCAATCAGATTTCAAAGAGAAAATGACTCCAACCAGATCCCTGCTCACGCAAACTAGCTATCAAGTGTCAGGGTGGAATAAAGAATTTTAAACGAGCAGTGACTCAAAAAAAGTACCTCCCATAGCTTCTTTCTTGAGAAACCTCCTGAGAGGTTATCTCAGCAAAGTGAGGGACTAAATCCAGACCGTGGAAGAGTTGGGGTCCAAACACATTGTGAAGCCAACACAAAAGAAGGGTGACAGACGGTCCCAGGATCATAGCTTGCCCCAGGAATGGAGTAACCAAGTCACAACAGAAGAAAGGAACAGGGTGTGTGTGTGTGTGTGTGTGTGTGAGAGAGAGAGAGAGAGAGAGATTGGGAGAAAGAGAAATATTGACAGAGAGAGTAAGAGAGAAAGATGGAGGAAGAGGGAAGCTCTACGCATGTGTGTGTTGAGATGAGGAATATCTTCAGAGGAAGGGGACGAACTCTCAAGTTGTCAATGTTCCTTACCATTAGTAAAAGTTATTGCTAGGTCTTAGTAGAGCTTTCAGAGTCTTCAACATTTGCCACAAATAGGTAAGAAACTAGCCACGTGAAAAATGAAGGCATCAAAGTCTGCCAAATGAAGGTAAAATAATCAAAATGTTACTTTACTCATCAAAAATAACACTTACAAAATGACATTAATGTACACCTCAGTTGCATGAGCATGAGTAGTCCAAAACTAAGATGCCATAAAGATGTTGTGAGGGAAAGTCACAGAGAGGTAGTAAAACAGCTAAATTCCTGGGACTAGCATTGTGGCATAGCAGGTTAAGCTGCCACCTGCAATGCCAGGGTGCCAGTTGGAGTCCCAGCTATTCCACTTCTGATCCAACTCCCTGCTAATGGTCTGGGAAAAGCAGTGGAAGATGGCCCAAGTGCTTAGACCCCTGCCACACACACAAGAGACCTGGACAAAGCTCCTAGCTCCTGGATCTTGGATCCTGGATCCTGGCTTCAGCCTGGCACAACCCTGGCTACTGCAGCCATCTGGGGAATGAACCAGTGGATGGAAGATCTCTGTCTCTCCATCTCTCCCTGTAACTCTGACTTTCCTACCTACATAACAGAAAATTTAAAAACTGTGTGTTTTCTTTTAAGAAAAAGATTTATTTTTTATTTATTTGAAAGGCGGAATTACAGAGAAAGGAGGAGCGACAAAGAGAGAGAGAGAGATCTTCCATTTGCTGGCCCACTCCCCAAAAGGCCACAGCAGCCAGGGCTGGGTCAGACCAAAGCCAGGAACTGGTAACTTCTTCCAGGTCTCCTACATGGTTGCAGGGCCCAAGCACTTGGGCCACCTTCCACTGCTTTCCCAGGCGCATTAGCAGTGAGCTGAATCAGAAGTGGTGCAGCTGTGTCTCAAACCAGCACTCCTATGGGATGCTGGCATTTCATATGGAGGCTTAGCTGCTATGTCACGACACTGACCCATCTAAACATTTTCTAAAACATTTATTTATTTGTAAGGCAGAGTTACAGAGAGAGAGGGAGATACACACACACACACACACACACACACAGAGAGAGAGAGAGAGAGAGAGAGAGAGAGAGAGAGAAATATATTCCATCCAGTGGTTCATTCCCCAAATGGCCACAATGGCTGGAACCAGGCCAGGCTGAAGCCAGGAACCTAACACCAGCCCACTATCTAGAAAACAGCAAGCTAAGCGGATAATTTAGTGATATAGGAATAGGATCAGGTATAATATGAAATTATTATACAGGCATTAAGTGACTATGTCTTGGGAACAGGCTGGCCAAGGAAATGTGGGACATAGGAGTATGATTTTTCTTAATCCTTTCACTTTTTCTTTGAACTCTGGATTGTTTACTCTAACAAAAAGAAAATTTAATTTGAAAATGTGGAAAGTGAATCTTAATTGAGCCTTTGTATAATGTTTAAATCTATGGTTAATTCAATGTTCTACATTGGTAATCTATGCATGTATTTCCAGTAATAAAATATGTGGTTCATCAAAATATGTTAAATAATAAATGTTATATTTAGACAATTTTCATTTTTTTTATTGTCAGGGCGATTCTGGAGGACCTTTAGTGGCAAAGGATAATAAAGATACCTGGTACCTCATTGGAATTGTGAGCTGGGGTGATAACTGTGGTCAAAAGAACAAACCTGGAGTCTACACAGAAGTGGCTTATTATCGACGCTGGATTGCTTCCAAAACGGGCCTTTGATTCACTTCAGAAGTTAGACAAAGGGCTGTATGCAGGTCATACATGCATGAGAGTCCAAGTATTCACAGGGCATAGCACAATGACCTGAGACAAAGACTAGGCCTGGCACCATGAGACACTGATATGATGTAGTTTACAACCACGTTAGTTGACCAGTAATCCTTAGGCAATTTATAAAGAGTTTTCTTTATAAATTAAAAATAAATAGAGCAGAGAAAGTTAGATGTTTAAATTGGAAAACCTGGAGTATGAGTCACACAATCAATTTTTGATACTAGTCCACGACATTTTTAGAAGGCCTTTGTCAGGGGTTTCCCCATAAGGGAAAAACCTTTTGAAGTCTTAATGAGGCCAGGAACTCCTTACAGGTATACAGTTCCTCATCATTCCTCCAGGGTCCAGAAATACATTTTTTTCTTCTTATTCTTTCAGGCATTACAAAGAGTTTTTTCCACAAGAAATGAATTCTCTTCTTCTAAATCTATCTCAGGGACACTTATGAAAGAACGTTCTATTCATAAGAAACAAAGTCTAGTGAGAAATCAAGCCCGAAATCACATACCAGTGTTTAGTTGTGAAACCCTTCTTACTCTCTTGTTGATTTTTAAATACACACACACATACACACACACTCACACACAAATAGACCTTACCCTATAGACACGAACAGAGGAAACCTGATTAATGAATGCTATGTGTGAAAGTATCTGAAGAAGTTTGTGGAAGACAGAATTAAAAGAAAAAGTTTGTTTTGGTTCAAAAAATATGAAAATCAATGCAGTTTTTTTCATAATATACATTTTACATGAACTTTCTGAAGCACATTTATATAATAATTAACCAAAAATGTATTTTTGCTTCAAAAATATTGGACAAGTTGATGACAACTTCATGAACAGTACCAGAACAAGTCCAAGAATTTATTTTCTAAATGTAATTACATGCCTTGACCACCAGAGGGAAATTGTGTATGTTATTATAAGATTACATGCCTGGAAAAATGGAGAATTTACTAATACAGGGAAGAATCAAAGAGTGTTGTCTTTCGCCATGGGAAAAATAATGTGACTCCCTTGTATTTCTACCACCAATCATCCCCTACCATGTGTGTCCTGCCTACTACAGCCATGGAACCCTACTTTTTTAAAGTTTTTTAAATACTAATTGTGAGTACCTATCCCATAGTTGTCTGAAAGAAAAAACTCCCTATGTAAAGTATATCATGAATTCATTAGAAGAGTCAGGCTTATGCATTCCATAATAAAAATTAATTGAAAGATTTGTTGAAGCTGCTACTCTGCTTAGCAATGTCCTCAAAACTATCAGCTTGTGGGCTGGAGAATCATTTAGTCATTGAGCCCAAATATAAGCCTAAGCGTACACTTACTTTATTATAATTTCTTTCTAAAAGAGATTTGCAATTCAATCACCAAAAAAGAAGTTGATATGTAATTTAGACTCACAAGATTTTAAAGTTTGGAAGAGACTGCCCAAGTCAGACAGTCCAATGCATTCGTTGTGTCTAAGAGAAGTGAAGCCAGGAAATTTAAGTGGCTGAAGGAAGCTATAGGTAGTTTGCAGGCACAACAAGCCTAGAACTCAGGTACCAATTCCACATTTCCTTTTTCAGACAAAAGATCTTTATGATTGTGCATATTTATTGAATCATCAAATCTGTAAAACCTTTGGTGAATGCTCTGGAGTCTGTTTTAAATTAGGAAACATGAATTTTAAAGGATAGGATTTACTTGGGCAGCTGGCTGTCAATTCTCTGAATGAACTTCAAGACAAGGTCATTGTGTGTGTGTGTGTGTGTGTGTGTGTGTGTGTGTGTGTATGTAAATACATATAGGCATGAAAATTATCCTACATTCAGGTGGTAAGGTAGTACTCTAACTTCTAATGTTAAGATTCAGGAAATAACCTTAGAGAACTTTGTATTTCTAAACTGCTTTGTACGGCTTTTGGATCACATGTAGGCAAATACTGATATATTGTAAATCGAATAAAATTGGTGATTAGAACATTCCAAAAAGAGTATCATGGAGTCTGTGTTAGACCAATAGTATGAATCTTTCAACTGAGATTAAGAGTCCTATTTCCTGGAACTGGTGCTGTGGCATAGCGAGAAAGCCAACCCCTGCAGTGCCGGCATCACATGTGGGCACCGGTTTGAGTCCTGTCTACTCCATTTCTGGTCCAGCTCTCTGCTATGGCCTGGGAAAGCAGTAGGAGATGGCCCAAGTCCGTGGGCTCCTGCACCTATGTGGGAGACCCTGAAGAAGCTCCTAAGGACTGAACCAGTAGATGGAAGACCTCTCTCTCTCTCTCTCTCTCTCTTTCTCTCTCCCCCTCTGCCTTTCAAATCAATCAATAAATAAATCTTAAAAAAAAAAAATGAGTCCCATTTCCTTTAAATAAGTAGTTTGGGTCACCCAGAGGCAGAATTACTCAGCTTTGGCACTGCCAATATTTCAGCCTGGATAATTCTTTGTTGTAAGGGGCTGTCCTATTCATTGTTTTATATTTAGTAGCATTTCACTAGAGGCCTAAAGCAAACTCCTTCCGCCAAATTCTGAAAACAAAAACAATTATCTCCAGACATTGGCAAATATCTTTCAACCAATAACACTGCCCACTGTTGAAACTATTTTGAAAACAGTTGCTAATTTCTAGAAATGTGACAGACTCCTTAAAGTTATGACACTGAGTATTCAAAATCTATAGTATAATGATCAAGATTTGCATTCACTCCTATGTTCCTAAAAGGCAACAGGAATGTCTGGATCCTCACTCACTGGCTATTTTGAGTACAGACTGATCTTCCCATGGATATCCTAATTTCTCTCATGCCTAAACCATAGTCACAGAGAATCATTAAATATTACCATAAAGAGAAAGTTGTATCAAAAACACACTCTAGTGGAGGTTCACCACAGGTTCACAATCCACAGTAAGAAATATTTTTATATCACATTTTCATACACACAACAAAACACATTCAAAATAAAAATCCAAACAGAAATTTCACAAAACAGTACTTACCCTTACTAAATAGGATGAAATTTAATATTTTTATTCTATTCCATAATATTCTATTCTCTTCCCTCCTTTTTAAATTTTTACTTCATCAACTAAGGTGATTTCACAATCTAATGGGTCACAACCTGTGGTGCCTTGAGAACATCCTAGAATAATCCATCACTATTATTAACACTGAGTTGTTAATATCTCATCTAATCCTACCTCCCTCCTCACCTTCAGCTTCTCATTATACTCATTAAGCAAACTGTGTTAAGTTTATTATTCTATTCAATAATGTTAATGCCATGCTCTCAATTTTCCCTTTGCCTGAAAAATGGAGCCCAAATCCGAGTCACCTTAGCATCTGAGGCCCTTTACAATCTTCCAACAGTCAAAAGAATTTTTCATTGCTGTTCTACTAGATGTTACTCTTTATCTTCTAAACACATCTCTCCTTTGGCCAGCCTGTTCCCTTCATTCTAGAAGATCACCTTCAACTCTCACCTCTGCCAGGAATACTTTTCTTATTATCCCAGACAACATTATTCGCCACCCAAACCTCTTTGAAATTATTTTTGCTGCTCCTGTAAAGTACTTTTGACACTTGCCTCTGTGCTATAGTTTTTATGAACATGTAATGTCCCTTAAAATATTGTAAGTCCCATAGGGCTAAATTCTACCTTAGGATTTTTGTATCCTCTATGGTATTTAGAATAACACTCAGCATGTTGTGTTTTAGGTAAATGATTAGTGGCAGAATAAAATAATGGAGCCTGGCTGTTACCTGCTCCCCCAAACTCACTTTTCTTTACCAGCTCTTCCACCTGTACAGACACATTTGGCCTATTCTTGAATGTTCCTAAAGACCTTCCCACACCGGAAATAACCAAACTATATGCAGACTCTCACTCCTGACAGTCATCTCCCTGAAGTCCCTCCAACTCCTAAACTTTTCCTATATATCCTTAAATGAGCACACCCCAGTCTACACTTATACATGGAAATGAGTTCAAGAAGCAAACCTCGTTGAGGTTTCACTTTAAGTTCCCTTTTTTGTTTGTTTTCATTTGATCCACCAGTGCTGTGTTTCCTCTCATACTTCAAAGAGGGAATGGTAGGCATCCATGTATACTCACCTCACTGAGGTTCTTTCTTGTTGAATTTTCCTAGTGGGAAATAATAGAGATAAAATAAAAAATCCTAACAATATATACTTTTAAAAAGTTCACAGAAATAAAGGGATTTGAATTTCATAAATAGTATGTTTCATAGTTTTTTATAAATCCATATAACACATCTGTTAGTTTCATTTTTCCATAAACTCTTTTCATTTCCCACAGAGAATAACATAGAAGATAATTAGAGATTTCTGGATGAAGGAGCAAAAGGCATCAGTACAAGGGAACTGATTTTTTTAAGAGCTGCAGAATTCTTCTGTGGTTGAATTATGTTGCTGTAGAAAATACAAAATTACAAATAGTACAAATTTTTCTGTTAAAGTGGGAACTCTCTTTTTTTTTTAAGGCAGAGTTACTGATAGAGGGAGAGAGAGGAAGAGACAGAGAAAATTTCCACCCACTCATTCATTTCCCCCATGGCTGCAACAGACAGGGCTGGACCAGGCCAAAGCCAGAAGCCAGGAGCTTCCTCCAGGTCTCCCACGTGGGTGCAGAGGCCAGATGGTATGGGTCATATTCTGCTGCTTTCCCAGGCACATTAACAAGGAGTTGAATCAGAAGTAGAGCAGCCAGGACTCCAAATGGCACCCATATGGGATGCCAGCATTGCAGGCGGCAGCTTAACACGCTATACCACAATGCTGGCCCCTGGAACTCTTTTTTTAAACCATGTTATTAGAGACAGATGCTGACAGGCACACCTACTGAGTGTTTCCATCCACTGATTCACTCCCCAGATATCTGCAACAGCCTGGGCTGGGCCTGGGATCAGAGCCAGGATCAGGTAATGCAACCAGGACTTCCATGCGGATGGAAAGAACTCAGTTATTATTTGATCCATCATTGCTGCCTCCACAGGGTCTCCACTGCCATGAAGCTGAAAATGAGAATCAAACCCAGACACTCTAATATGGGACATGGATATCCTAACCACTAGTCCAAATGCCCACTCCCAAAGTGGAAGTCTTCTTTACAATAGGTACAAGCAGAGAACAGAAACCACATTTTTCTTTAACTTAATAGCTGAATATTATGTACCTTAAAATTCTGTAGGAACTGTGGTGTTGACGTGGATAGAGGACCAGTTCAGAACTAACAACTTCATGAGGGCATTAGAGACCAGCAGGCTGGTGTTATATCAATATTAAAGATAACAAGTAAGCTTTAACAGTCAGAAAAAAAAAACACAAAACAGAAATTCTTAAGATTACACTAACTACTCTCAGCCTTGAAATAGATGTTATGAGTTTGAGTACATTAGATGATGTTCCGTAGCATGCAAAGTTATTGAAAATCTCTGTTAACCTGTTGCATGTTTTGCAGGAGCTATAGGGATCATGTTAAGGGACTTAAAGGGAGACTTAGATTCCAATACAATAGTACTGGTGGACTTCAATACTCCACTCTCAGAAATAGATCATCCGGACAGAAGATCAACAAGGAAACAGCAGATTTAATCGACACTATTGCCCAAATGGATCTAACAGATATCTACAGAACTTCAATCC